AAAAAAAAAAAAAAAAAAAAAAAAAAAAAAAAAAAAAAAAGGGAAAGAAAAAAGGAAGGAAAGAAGAAACACTTAAAAAAAAAACCTAAAAAAAAAAAAAACTAAATCATGTCACCAGCTGGCATACTCTTCACTGACTTGTCCAGAAGGCTAAGCAGTGACCATATGTTCTCAGAGTCCTGCCGCTTATTAGTGAAGAAAGTTCCCTTAGCACAGCACCTGACTTCAGAGAGTCGTTCTTAGTATCCAGGACCCTTACCTGCTGCTTCCTCCTCCTCCAGGGAGTCCCTGAGGATCCCGGTCTTCCCCAAGCAACCTCCCTCCATTCCTGTGCATTCTGCCTTCTGAGAGGAGTAAGGCACAAGCACCATTCTCTGGGTTCTGCTTTTCATTTCAAAAATGGAAACCAAGAGCCTAGCTGGGTATGGTGGCATACACTTATACCCAACACTTGGGAGAATGAGGCATGGCTCACCACAGATTTGGGGCCACCCTGAGCTATAGGATGAAACTCTGTATTGAGGGGAGGGAAAGAGAAGTGGGTGGTGGGGCACAGTGATGTACTGGGAAGGCGAAAGCAGGAAAACTAGTTCAAAGCCAGTCTGGGCTGCATGGGACCCTGGCTTCTAATTAAAATTACAGTCAGGTGTGATAGTATACACTAATGCAGGCCATGAATGGACCTTGAAGTAGGATTGCCAAAACTCTGAGGTCAGTGGGAAAGGGAGGGTGGCGGTAGGAGTGACCTCCAGTATTGTTAAAGATAGAGTAATATCTTCCACTAAAATCTTCATTAAAATCAGAGAGCTCAGTTGAGTGGTGGTGGCCCAAGCCTTTAATTCCAACCCTCAGGAGGCTGAAGCAGGGGGATCTCTGTGAGTTCAAGGCCAGCCTAGTCTACAAAGCAAGTTCCAGGACAGCTGGGACTGTTACACAGAGAAATCCTGTCTCAAAAAAAAAAAAAAATAAAACAAAACAAAACGAACAAAAGAGCCAGGGAGCTCTTAGACCAACAGTGATAAGATGCATAAAACAAGTCTTGCCAGAAATAGTCACACAAGCCTGCACATCACAGAACTGAGTCAAGCACAGGGAGGGCACACTAGAGAGGCATGACTTCCAGACCAGCCCGCTCTACATACTGAATTCCATGCTAGTCAAGGCTACATACCAGTATCCTATTTAAAAATATATATGTTGAAACTAGAGAAATGGCTTAGTGATTAAAATTGCTGTTCTTGCAGAAGACCCTGGTTCAGTTCTCAGCATCCATGTCATGTCTGACAACACAATTACAGGTAACTCCAGTTCCAGTGGAATCTGGTGCCCTCTTCTGGCCTTTAAGGGTAACTGCATGCACATGCTACATATATATGCACTCAGTCACACACACATACAAGTAAAATAATCTTCCAAAGCAGATGCAGTAGGACTGCGATTTCTAATTCTGGTTTATCATTTTGTTTGACTGGGTTTGTCTGTTTGCTTGTTTGTTTGTTTGTTTGATTGATTGTTTTGAGATAGGATGTTACTTTGTACCCCAAGCTGGCCCAGAAATTACCATGTAGCACAGCTGTCCTTGAATTTGTGGCAAGCAGACTCTCAGCCTGCAAGGTGCTGAGATTACAGGCATGAGCAACCTTACATAGGTTCAGTTAGGGATCTTTTAAAAAATAAATGATCAATTCCTCTCCCACAAATTCTGATTCAGTATGATATAACCAGAGTTAATAATCCAAACCCTTTTTGATTTTTAAAAAGTTCCTGCAAGGTGTTGATGGCGCACTGGAAAGACAGAGGTAAGCTGTTGCAGGAGGTCCTTCCGCCCCTCCAACCAATAGCTGCTGAGATACCAGCCCATTGGGGCGTGGTCTCTCTCTCCCTTTAAAAAAGTGGCTACTTCCTCCATTCGCTCTCTTCACTTCCTGCTCTGCCAGCCACTAAACTCCCTTCCTGGTTGCACAGAGGGCTGTTGTCTGGGACAGTGATCTGTAAGTTTTTTCCTCTTTAAATAAATACCACCCTATTAATCATAATTCCAAACTGGTGTGGCATTGTTCGTGACTTACGCCTTCAGTAAGCAGATTTCTATGAGTTCCATGCCAGCTTGGTCTCTAGAACAGTTGTGGGTAACAGAAAAACCCTGTCTGGGGGGGGGAAAAGTTCCTAGGGGGTTGAGCATGGTGGCAATTGCTCTAATCCTAGCACTCAGCGGAAAAAGGAAGGTCTATGTAAGTCCCAGGATAGCCAAGGAAATGCAGTAAGACTGTCTCAAAAACAAAAATTAAAAACAAAACTCCTAGGTAAAAGCCAGGCATACTAGTAAATGCCCCTAATGCCACCACTCAGGAGATAAAGGCCAGGTATAGTAGCAAAAACCCAGTTCACCAAGAGCCCGTCTTCTATGTTCAGCAGTCTTATAAAATGGCTGCTGTGTCCAGCAAGATGATTACAGAAATAACAACTGTACGCTAGGGACCCACGTACCTCGTATTTTCTGTAGTTGACCAGCAAAGCCAAGAGGACTACAGCATCATACCCATGCTCTCTACGACTTGGGGGATGGGACAGTATCTGTAACAAGAGGCACAGTACATAACGCCTAAGTGCTAAGTCCTGGTTCCGTGGAAGGCGGACTGAAAATGTAAAGAGCATCTATAAGAGAAAGGCATCAGAAAGCTGGCCTACCTGTAGAATCGCTTCAAATATACTGTTGATCATTACATATTCCAGGATAGTGTTCTGACTGATGTTGTCTGTAACCTGAATGCAATAGAAACACTTGTGAAGGTCTGTACCACGCACCTGACATCTCATGTGTATCTACTACCCTAGCATCTAAGTGACAGAAATGTCAAAGCAAAGAACAAACAAAAATAGCCCAAGATTCAGATTCCCAGAACCATTTTCAAGAGAGACCCAATGAAAACAAAAAGTCAGACAATCGAAAAGATGATAGTTCTCCTGGAATATCCCTGCCAACATGACAGGTATCAACTGGAGATGGCTCAGCAGGTTAAGGTCCTTGCCACCAAGCCTGATGACCTGAGCTCCACCCTGGAACCCATATGGTGGAAGGAGAGACCCAACTCCGGAAATCTGTCTTCTGACCAACATGACTTTTTGTATGGGGAAGGGACACACACGAACTAAAAATTAGTTTTAAAATGCTTAAGTAAGGGGCTGGAGAGATGGCTCAGTGGTTAAGAGCACCGACTGTTCTTCCAGAGGACCCGGGTTCAATTCCCAGCACCCACATGGCAGCTCACAACTGTCTGAAGATCCAGTTGCAGGGGATCTGACACCTTCACACCAATGCACATAAAATAAAGTTAAATAAACCATAAAATATTTAAAAAATGTTTAAGTAAAATAAAAAATAAAGTGATAAGATAATATCATATAGCCTGCAGGATAAAAATGCCAGTAGCCGCTCAAAGGTTAATTCCCAAAAAGCATAATTCCATACAACTAACTTCCCTCTATATGTTCAGACCAAAGGGAATAATATAATATCCCAGTAAAGAAGTTCTCTTTTTCCTTTGGGAGGAAACTCAACTAGGTTTAACTCTGCTGTAATTAACACCCTTGACAAACATATGGGGGTCACTTACAGTCACTAAGCAAAGAAGAAGTTTCAGGCATAAACTCTTCAGACTTTCGGAACCTTCTGCACAAAGTAGTGAATCCAAACTCTCCATCAAGTTCTGGGAAAGCGAAACATAAACATTAAAGCATGCCAAGTAACACTTAGACCCTGTGCTGTTATGTTCTGCAGGATACAGTGAATGTGAATCAACTATACCATTTCCCTAGTCCAGGCCAAGCAAGATCAAAGAAAAAGACTTCAAAGTCTAGCCACTCGGAGACAATGCTTTAGAACAACCACAGAGAACAATGGGGTATTTACTCCTGTACTACATGAATGTTGGAAGCTTTACACACAGATAAACCTTGAGATCAAAAGAATGAAGTAGTTTGAAAAGGGAGACCTAATGGTTTAATAACTACACATGAGTTTCAGTTTTTGTCAAAGAAAGTACATCACGTAGGCACATTGGACCAGTGAGAGACACATCAAATTCACTACTGGGAATCAATGGCCATTTGAGCAATCCAACAAAGCTATCTGGGTTCATCAGGATTAACTTCAATTGACAATGTAATTGGAATTTGATGCTTGCACTAGAAAAATAGCTTTTAGACATAAACTAAGAAAAGGTAAAAACCTTCTAACTATGACAGAGGGAAGAATGAAAAGAATATTCTACATTAAGTGAAGGGAAAAAAATTCAAGGCTAGGGGGCTGGAGAGATGGTTCAGAGGTTAAGAGCACTGGCTGCTCGTCCAGAGGTCCTGAGTTCAATTTCCAACAACTACATGGTGGCTCACAGCCATCTACAGTGAGATCTGGTGCCCTCTTCTGGCCTACAGGCATACATAGAGGCAGAATGTTGTACACATAATAAACAAACAAACAAATAAATAAATAAATCTTTTTTAAAAAATATTTATTTATTATATATACAATATTCTGTCTATACTGACTCCTCTGGAAGAGCAGTCAGTGCTCTTAACCTCTGAGCCATCTCTCCAGCCCCAATAAATCTTTTTTTTTTAAAAAAGTTCAAAGCTAGAGAAATGACTCAGTGGTTAAGAGTACTTGTTCTTACAGAAAACCTGGATTTTTTTAGTTCCCAGGACCCATATCGTAGTTCAAAGCCAGCTATAACTCCAGTTCCAGAGATGCAAGCCCTCTTCTCGACTCTGAGGGCACCAGGTAGGTACATGGTATGAGTACTTGCATGAAGAAGAAAAAAAAAAACAAAAACCTCACACATGCCAGGCGGTGGTGGCACATGCTTTTACGCCTTTAATCCCAGCACTCGGGAGCCAGAGGGAGGAGGATCTCTGTGAGTTCAAGGGCAGCCTGGTTTATAAGAGCTAGTTCCAGAACAAGTTCCAAAGCTACACAGAGAAATCCTATCTTAAAAAACCAAAAAAAAAAAAAAAAACCACACATAAAACAAATAAATAAATCTCTCATTTTTAAAAAAATATTTATTTATTACGTATACAATATTCTTTCTGCATGTAAGTTAAGGCAATGCTCTTAACTGCTGAGCCATCTCTCCAGCCCCAATAAATCTCTTAAAAAAATAACAGGGGCTGGAGAGATGCCTCAGAGGTTAAGAGCACTGGCTGCTCTTCCTAGAGGACCTGAGTTCAATTCCCAGCAACCACATGGTGGCTCACAACCATCTGTAATGAGATCCGGTGCCCTCTTCTGGAATGTAGGCAGAACAGTGCATCTAAAATAAATAAATAATTTTTTTTTTTTTTTTTTTTTTGGTTTTTCAAGACAGGGTTTCTCTGTAGCTTTTGGTTCCTGTCCTGGAACTAGCTCTGTAGATCAGGCTGGTCTCGAACTCACAGAGATCCGCCCGCCTCTGCCTCCCGAGTGCTGGGATTAAAGGTGTGCGCCACCACTGCCCATAAATCTATCTTTTAAAAAAAAAAAAAACCAACAGACTTAAGGAGTCAGCATGATGGAATTTCAAAATGAAGATTCAAAATAAAATGTTTTGGTTGACAGGCTCCAAAGCTACAGAGAAACCCTGTCTCGAAAAACTAAAAAAAAAAAAAAAAATGTTTTGGTTGGATGTGGTGACATATGCCTTTAATTCCAGTACTGGGAGGCAGGGGAAGGAGGATCTCTGTGAGTTTGAGGCCAGCCTAAAACAGATATCGAGTCAGTGAGTTCCAGAACAGCCAGGACTACAAAATAGAAAGACCCTGTCTCAAAAATAAAACAAGATGTTTCAATTAAATTAAACATTTATAATTTGAATGTAAATTTCAAATTTATAATTTGAAAGTATAAAATTATACTTTCAAAGTAAGACCTTGAAACTTTCACAATTTTAGTTTAAAGAGAAAGACAAAAAAGTAATTTCAAGTCTTCTGGCCTTCAGCATATGCTATGTGAACACACACACAAATAAAAAGTTATAAAGCTTTTTGATAATAAATTAATAACAAGACTCCTAGCATCTACTCTTGACCTCAACACACACACACACACACACACACACACACACACACGAAAACTATAGCTGAGCACAGTGGTACATGCCTATAGTCCCAGCACTAGGAAAGTAAAGATAAGAAGACCCTGGGGTCTGTGGACCAGCCAGTCTAGAGCTCCAAGGCTCAGTGAAAAACCTTGTCTCAGAGAAATAAGGTGGAACCTGATAGAAGACATGCAGTGTTGGAGAGGCCTGAGACTTTGGCTTACTTTACAGGGGAAGATCTTGAAGAAGTGCCCTTCTTTCTCCACCAAAATGCAAAGAAGGCATTTCAGCCCCGAGGAAGTACCAGAAAGTATGTTTCTGTGATCTGTCTGCTAGAAAACTACCCTGCCAGCTGTTACAAAGCAAAACCTTTAATCCAAATAAGCCAAGCCTAACCATAGGAACACAAGCCAACAATGTAACTTTCTCTGTAAAAAGTTTTCAAGTGTTGAGGAGGCCAGGGGGTCCAGGATTGTGTCTGAAAGACAGTAAGCTATTACAGAGAAAGAAGCACAGAGGAACATAAAGGGAGACTGAGTGAGTGCTGAAGAGTCCAGGATAGAGGGATAGAGAAAAGGGCAGGACAGCAAAGGTGAAAGAGATGGGCAGGGATGAAGCAGCAGAGCCGGCAAAGAATGATCTAGCTACAGACAGTGCCACCTCTGGGCTATTGGTCTCGGATACTATAAGAAAGCAGGCTGAGGAAGCCATGAGGAGCAAGCCAGAAAGCAGTACTCCTTCAACGCCTCTGCTTCAGTCCCTGCTTCCAGGCTCCTGCCCTGACTTCCCTGAATGATGGACTGTGAGCTGTAAGATGAAATAAACCCTCCCCACCCCTAAATTGCTTTTGGTCATGAAGACAGTCTCCAGGGAGAAACACCGCAGAGCACACTGTGGTTCTCTGCCTTGCCAGTACTGTGTTATAGTCAAAGGAACATTAGGTCCTGTTAGAACCTGACGGATATTTTCCTTCACTCAGACCTTCTTCTAGCTATTGTTCAGAAAGCTGACCCCTGGTATTATCCCAGTTCCAGTACATTGAGGGATCCTGATGGCTGCTCACTAAGGTATGGTCTTGGTTCAGTTACATGTCTGGTCTGCACAGAAATCTACACCTTGTAAGCTTCATCAAAGCGCAGGTTTTCTTACTCTTATTTCTAAAAACAGAATCCCACCATTTTTTAATGGAGTGGAAGAAATAAGATACTGTTTTAATATTAGTACACAAGAGATGATTTGACATTTATTGGAACTGGAGTCACTACACCAAGTTTAAAGGGCCAGGGGAAGTCACAGCTGGCCCATGTGCAGTAGTCTTGCCCAGTAGGAGGGTGTGTGTGAACCGTGGGAGTATAGCTTGTTGGCACTATCTCGTGATAGTTGAGCTCTGGCCTCCACATGTATTCCTTCCACAAACACATGCATATCACAATCTCACACACACACACAATTTTTTGAGGAGGAGGAAGAGGAAAGGGACACCAGGTAGACTTTAGAATGATCAAAGGTCCATGAAAAGGGGCTGAGAGTGTAGTTCAATGATAGTGTGCTTGCCTAGCTTTCATAAGGCCCTGGGTTCAAACCCGAATGTAAAGCAGATATATGTCTATAATTCCAGCATTCAAAAGGATAATGATTTTTTTCTTCTGGGAGGCAATTAAACTGTTTTTTGAATTAAAAGTGGTTATGTTTATTCAATTTAAGAATCAACTACACAATACATGAATTACAAGAGTGTTCTAATAAAAAGACAGTGATAGTGCCTTAGTGTTAGAGCCCTATCTAACATACACCATGTTGGATCCCCAGTAGGGGAGGAGGGATAAGAGGAAGAGGAGAAACAGAAGAAAATTTTGTTTGAAAAATTAGTTTTGAACAGTAAACATAAAAATTCAAAGGACTTGGGGCTGGAGCGATGGTTCAGCAGTTAACAGCACTGGCTGCTCTTGCACAGGACCCAAGATGGCACCCACATGATGGTTCACAATCATCTAAAACTCCAGATCTATGGGATCTGATGTTCTCCTATGACTTCAAAGGTATCAAGCATACACACACAGAGGCAAAACACTCACACATCACATAACATGAATAATCTAATTTTTAAAAAGCTCAAAGGGCAGCAACTGGATAAAGGCACTTGCCTAACAACCTAAATTCAATCCCCAAGACCCACAGGGTGAAAGGAGAGAATCAACTCCTGATAATTGTTCTCTGACTTCCACATACCCACTATTCCACACACATACCAGCGTGCAAATAAATACATAGGATAATATTTTAAATTTAATTCAAGTCAAGCATAATGGTATGTGCCAATAGCCCCAGCCTACTCAAAAGGCTGAAGCAGGAAGAATTACTTGAACCCATAGGTTCAAGCCTAGGCAAGATAACTAGCCTTATCCCAAAAAAAGAAACTGATGTGGGCACGGCAGTATACATCTGTAATCTCAATAGCTGGGAGATGGAAAGCAAGAAAATCAAGAATTTGAGTCCTATTCTTTTTTTTTTTTTTTTGGTTTTTCGAGACAGGGTTTCTCTGTGGTTTTGGAGCCTGTCCTGGAACTAGCTCTTGTAGACCAGGCTGGCCTTGAACTCACAGAGATCTGCCTGCCTCTGCCTCCCAAGTGTTGGGCTTAAAGGAGTGCACCACCACGGTCCGGGCATTCTGCACACATTTTGTAAGTAACAAATGACATGAGGAGAGCCAGCAAGATGGCTCAGCAGGTAAAGATGCTTACCATATAAGTCCGAAGACCTGATTCTAACTCTGACTTATACACGTGCACCATAGCATATAGGCACTCACACACATTATACATACACGAACACATTCTTCTCCAGTGGTCAGAGGACTGCCCCTCTTAAATGAATGCATCTGTAATCACACCGTCTTAAGCTCAAGGGCACTGTGCCTTCCGACCTCAGGAGTCAGTTTTCTCACTGTGCAGTTGTCCTGGTTGGTTTTTTTTTTTTTTAATATTTATTTATTTATTTATTGTGTATACAGTGTTCTGTCTACATATATGCCTGCAGGCCAGAAGAGGGCACCAGATCTCAATACAGATGGTTGTGAGCCACAGGACCTCTGGAAGAGCAATCACTGCTCTTAACCGCTGAGCCATCTCTCCACCCCCCCCCCCCCCCCCCCCCCCCCCCCCCCCCCCCCCCCCCCCCCCGGTTGTTTTCTTTAAATTAAACAATGGTTTTTTTTTTTTTTAACTTGAGAGAGATAGACAAACAGGCTGAAAAGACAGCTCAGTCTTTTCATTCAAGAACATTTATTGCTCTTATAGATGAGCCATGATCAGTTTCCAGCACCCACATCAGGCTGGCAACCATTTGAAACTCCAATTCCAAAGGATCCAGTACCCTCTTCGTACCTCTCAGTCATCACGCACACATGAAGTACACAGACATATATGCAGGGAAAATATCTATACACATAAAATAAATAAACCTTTAAAAACTATGACAAATAGTTTTTAAAAAGCCTTATCCTCTGTAATTTAAGTCTGAAGTCAGCCTCAGCTACATAAGAGTCTGTCAAAGAGCCAAAAGCACACAAGGATTGTGGGCAGCAGAGGACTTGCCTTCCGTGCAAAAGAGCATGGCTTTGTTCCTAGAACCACAAAATAGCTAATCTTGTAGCTTTTCATATTTTATCTAAGTTCATAAATGTCATAAAAATCTGGATGGTGGTAGTTCATGTCTTTAAACCCAACACTCAGAAGGCAAAAGCAGATGAATCTCTATAAGGTAGAGGCCAGCCTGATCTATAAAGCCAGTTCCAGGATACCCAGGGCTAACTGTTACACAGAGAAATCCAGTCTCAGAAAGCCAAAATCTGACTCCAAATCTTCTAGTATGTCTGTCTACAGGAAGCATCACAACGGCAGTCAAGAGATAAGCTATTCGGGGGCTGGAGAGATGGCTCTTCCAGAGGTCCTGGGTTCAAGTCCCAGAAACCACATGGCAACTCACAACTGTAACTCCAGTTCCAGGGGATTCGACACCCTCATATGGATACACATGTAGACAAAACACCAATGCACATAAAATAAAAATAAATCATAAAAAAATCTTTTAAAAAAAAGAACTCTTCAGAGCCACACACACGTTTCTGCCTCACCTTCATGCACAGCTCCGCTTTGTCAAAGCCCATCAGCATGTTGATAATGTCAAATCCAGATGTAGACTTATTCTTCTGGTGGACTCCTCGAATTAGTGCACACAAGGTCTGCAGAGATGGGAAAAACAATTCTTCTAGAGAGAAAGTCTCCATACTACGAGTACACTAAATCTGCAGCTTCCTCCTGCAACTTCAGAACTAAGTCTTGACAAGGCTGGCTGACCTTCAATTTCTGCTGCTCTGAGTTTGAAAACAGCTTCAATGTTAACATGAAAAATCCAGAAACTGGGCTGGAGATATGGTTCGGCGATTAAGAGCACTGGCTGCTCTTCCAGAGGTCCTGAGTTCAGTTCCCAGCACCCACATGGCAGCTCACAACTGCCTGTAACTCCAGTTCTAGGACATCTGACCCTCACACCAATAAACATAAAATAATAAAATAAATTTTTTTAAAAAATCCAAAAAACTACAGAGAAACCCTGTCTCAAAAAAAAAAATCCAGAAACTGAGAAACAGCAGCACACCTGCAATCTCAGCACTGGAGAGGAGGAGGCAGAAGAATCAGAAGTTCAAAGTCAGAGTCAGAGAACTAGCTCAGCAGGTCTGACAAAGGAGCTGACCCCTTCAAGGTGTTCTCAGACTCCACAGGAGCCTGAGACATAAGCATGCACACACACACACACACACACACACACGCACACACACGCACGCACACACACGCACACACGCACACACACAAGAGGACTGCTGGGCTCGCTGGCCTCCAGCCTAGTCAGACATGGTGAGCTCCAGGTTCAGTGACCCTGTCTCCAGGGAATAAGAAAGACAGTAATAAAGGAAGACATGCCACTTCCTCCTCTGGAGAAAAAGTAAAGAGCTAGAGAGATGGCTCAGGGCTTGCTCTGCAAGCATGGGGACCCAAGTTTGATCCCTGGAACTGCTGGGTAATATTGTTTTAAAAGTGTGTGACTTTTATTAATGCTACATTTGTTTAACTCTGTGAAGCTGTGATTCTCTGCCTGTCTTGTAGTACGATTAATAAAAATTCAGAGACAGAAACTTGGGTTCAACCTGAAGATCAGAAAAGCAAAACAGCCAGTCACTGGCCTTTACCTCTACCTCAGTCCAAAATGGCGATCCTGCCTCCAAGAATCTCAGAATGAGACTGTGTGGGAGAGCTGACTCCTCCCATCTTATATTCCTCTCTAGTTCTGGGATTAAAGGCATGCACCACTACCACCTGGTTTCTATGGCAAACTAGTGTGGCTACTGGGATTAATGGTGTGTGTCACCACTGCCTGGTCTGGAAGGCTGATCAGTGCAGCTGTTTTACTCTCTGAACTTAAGGCAAGCTTTATTTATTAAAATACAAATGAAATATCATTAAACTGTCTAAAACATCTGATGGTCCTAATAAAGAGCTGAATGGCCAATAGTGAGGCAGGAGCAAGGATAGGAGGGACTGGCAGGCAGAGAGGATAAACAGGAGAAACGAGGAAGAGGAGGAGCAAGGAGAGAACAAGAAAAGGAGGACACCAGTGGCTAGTCACCCAGTCACCTGGCCAGTCAGAGTAAGGGTGAAAGTAAGATACACAGAAGTAAGAAAAGGAAAAAGCCCAGAGGCAAAAGGTACATGGGAAAATTTAAAGTTAAGAAAAGCTGGCAAGAAACAAGCCAAGCTAAGGCCAGGCATTCCTAACTAAGAATAAGCCTCCGTGTGTGATTTATCTGAAAGTTGGGAGTTAGGCTCCCCAAAAAGCCAAGAGTAAATCACCACCAACATGGAGCCACACAGAGGTGGAAGCAAACAAGCAACATCACACAGCTGTTCTTTAGTCTCTATGAGCATTGGGTCATGTATGCTCCCCCTCCAAGCACTGTACACAGGAAATACAGTTTTTTGTTTGTTTTATTTTACTTTTGTTGGTTTTGAGACAGGATTTCACCATATAGCTCTGACTGGCCTGGAACTCGCTATAAAGATCAGGCAGACCTCCAACTCACAGAAATCCACCTGCCTCTATCTCAAAAGTGCTGGGATTGAAAGTGTACACCTAGCCCCATAATAAAATCTTTAGAGATTTATTTTTTCAGTTTATGTGTATGGATGTTTTGCCTGCATGTATAACTATGAAACCACCATGTAAGGAAGCCAGAAAATGGTATTGGCTCCTTTGGAACTGGAGTGACAGACAGCTGTCAGCTGCCAAGTGAACGCTAAGAACTAAACCTAGGTTCTCTACAGAAACAACAATTGTTATTAACTGTTAAGCCATCTCTAGAGTCCCCCAGTAAGTACTTCTTTAAAATTAAAAAATAGGGCTGGAGAGATGGCTCAGTGGTTAAGAGCACAGACTGCTCTTCCAGAGGTCCTGAGTTCAATTCCCAGCAACCACATGGTGGCTCACAACCATCTGTAATGAGATCTGGCGCCCTCTTCTGGTGTGCGGGCATACATGGAGGCAGAATGTTGTATACATAATAAATAAATAAATCTTTTTAAAAATAAAATTAAATTAAAAAATAAAAATAACAGCTGGTTGGTGGTGGTGCATGCCTTTAATCCCAGAATTCCAGAGGCAGAGTCAGGTGGATCTCTGAGAGTTTGAGGACAGTCTGGTCTACAGAAAGAATTCTAGAACAGTCAAGATTACACAAGAAACCCTGTTTCATGGGCTGGAGAGATGGCTCAGCGGTGAAGAGCATTGTCTGCCATTCCAAAGGTCCTGAGTTCAATTCCCAGCAACCACATGGTGGCTCACAACCATCTGTAACGAGGTCTGGCCTGCATACATATATTGTATATATAATAAATAAATATTTTTTTTTAAAAAGAAACCCTGTTTCAAAAAACCAAAGAATAATAATAATAACAACAACAAGGTACAAAGTAATTGGGAAAGATACCCAGTTTCCATCTCTGGCCTCCACACACACAAACACATACATACATACTTCAAACATACACACATAAAACCAAACTAAGCCAGGTAGCGGTGCACATGCCTTTAATCCTAGCACTTGGTAGGCAGAGGCAGGAGAATCTCTGTGAGTTTGAGGCCAGGCTGGTCTACAGAGTGAGTTCCAGGGCAGGCTCCAAAGCTACAGAAAAATCCTGTATCAAAAAAACAATCTAAAAGAAAACAGAAAAAAAAACAGAAAAACATTTAAATTAGACTGCAAAGATAGCTTAGTGGTTGAGAGTACCTGCTGTTCTTCCAGAGGACCCAAGTTTGAGTCCCAGTACCCATGCTGGGTGACTCACAACCATTGGTGATTCTAGCACCAGAGGATTCCATACCCTCTTTTGGTTTCCACAGATACCTGTACCCACACAACACAAAGACACATGATTTAAAGTAATAGTAATAAATGTTTTAATGATTTTTAATTCATTTTTGTTGTCTGATATTTTGATTATGTTCTGACAAAAAAGCTTGTTTGGAGTTAGAGGGGAGCTAACCAAAATTAACCATAGAGGTTTGGACGATTGTAGACAGAGAGGAGACAGGAATACTAAGGCAGGGGGGAGAGAGGATCTCGGCTCTTTAAGGATGGAGAAACGGAAGAGGTAGGAGGCGACTAGTGGCTACTTCCTGCTTCTCTGACCTTTTGGATACTTGCCCCAATATCTAACTCCCGATTTTTTATGTATACAATATTCTGTCTGTCTGTATGCCTGCAGGCCAGAAGAGGGCACCAGACCCCATTACAGATGGTTGTGAGCCACCATGTGGTTGCTGGAAATTGAACTCAGGACCTTTGGAAGAGCAGGCAATGTTCTTAACCTCTGAGCCATCTCTCCAGCCCTAACTCCCGATTTTTTTATTGATAAAGATTAATTAGATTAATGCTTCCCATTTTATGTGTATGGGTGTTTTACATGCATGTATGTCTGTGCACCACATGCATGCCACCTGTCCATAAAGGCCAGAAGAAGGCATTGACTGGATCCCCTAGAACTGTGAACAGACATATGAGTGCTGGGAATTGAATCCAGGTCCTCTGAAAGAGCAGCCAGAGTTCGTGTGTGTGTGTGTGTGTGTGTGTGTGTGTGTAATTTATCTATTTTTACTTTATGTGCATTGGTGTTTTACCTGCATGAGTATCTATGTGAGGGCGTCAGATCCCCTGGAACATGAGTTACAGACAGTTGTGAGATGCTATGTGAATGCTGGGAATTGAACCCTGGTCCTCTGGGAGAGCAGCCAGTGCTCTTAACCACTGAGCCATCTCTCTAGCCCATAATAAATGCCTTTTTTTTAATTAAACAAAACAGAAAAATAGCTAAGCATAACAGATATTTTATTTAAAAAATTAAAAATATAAAGGAATGAAAAACCAAACCATCTCTGATAGCTAAAGGCAATTCTAGGTTCCTCAGCATCTAAGAGATGAGCTTCAGTTCCATGTTTCCATTAAACAGAACTTCCCAGTCTCCAAGCCTCTACCTGCAAGGCATTGACAACTCTGATTGGATGCTCCTCTCCTAGAGCCTGGATACAGTGTTGAAATAAACAGTTGATATTGTCCTTGATCTTCATTAACTCTTCACCATCCAGAGACTCCAGCTTGCCTTCTAGATACTCTAAATTCACCTGCCAAAAGAACAGTAAGGGCCTAAGCAGACTTTTAGTGCAGCACTGAGATTATGTAAGACGATGTTACTTACCCGAGAATGCCAACATGCCACCCAATCTCACCTTCATGAGGAAGAGCTCCTCCCAAAACCGAGGACTACACTTACTGGGGTCTTCCGTCTACAATCAGAAAACAAGCATGTTCAACTTCATTGCCAATTCAAAAAGCATCAAAAATATTGTCAACTTTAACTATCAATTTTTTCAAATATTTTTTAAAGATGTATTTATTATATATATAGTATTCTGTCTGCATATATGCCTGCAGGCCAGAAGAGGGAACCAGATCTCATTACAGGTGGTAGTGAGTAACCATGTGGTTGCTGGGAATTGAACTCAGGACCCTTGGAAGAGAAGACAGTGCTCCTAACCTCTGAGCCACCTCTCCAGGCCTACCTAACATATTTAACTTTGAAACTGTTTCCTTTTTTTTTTTTCCTGGGGAGTTTTCAAGACAGGGTTTCTCTGTAGTTTTGGAACCTGTCTTGGAACTTGCTCTGTAGACCAGGATGCTCTCCAACTCACAGAGATCCACTTGTCCCTGCCTCCCTCCCGAGTACTGGGAATAAAGGCATGTGCCACCACCTTGCTTTAAAGACTTCTTTTAATGAGGATATTATCAGCACCAACAAAGATTTCTTGTCAAGATTAGAACTGATGTGTTTAGTGATATATCTGGAAAAGTGCCAAAGATATATTAGAAAAATCAGTATATTCTTTGTAAGTAATATTTTTGTTTACATTTGATGGCTAAAATCAATCTCCAATCCAAATCATAATAACTCTGTACTCACCCCATAACTAGAGAATGAGTTGTCTAATTACTTACTCTGTTAATCAAAAACCTGAGATAGAATGTAATAATGTATCTTCTAAAAAATATACCTGAAACTGAAATTATAGAATTCAAGGTGCAAAAAGAACTTCATAAGACATCTATCATAAAAACTACTCTTTAAATTAGCTAAAAAAAAAATAAATGAATGAAAATAAGATCATAAAAAATGAGCCATGGGGGCTAGAGAGATGGCTCAGAGGGTAAGAGCACTGGCTATTCTTCCAGAGGACCAGAGTTCAATTCCCAGCAATCACAGGGTGGCTCACAATCATCAATAATGAGATCTGGTGCCCTCTTCTGGTGTGCAGGCACACATGTTGGCAGAACACTGTATATACAATAAATAAATAAATCTTTTTTAAAAAAACAAAATGAGTCATGAGACTAAAGAAAGGCTCAGCAACTAAAAGCATTTACTGCTCTTCCAGTTGACCAGGGTTTAATCCAAGCACCAACATCAGGTGGCTCACAACTGCTGTGGAACAATCCTTTTGCACACAGTAAAGATTTGTCACTTGAATTGGTTTAAAAACCGCTGACTGGCCAATAGCCAGGCAGGAAGAATTGGTGGGGCAACCAAACTAAGGATGATGGAAAAGAGAAGGATAGAGTCAGGAGTCTCCAGGGAGACAGAGAGGGAGCAGGAGATAAATGTGTCATGCTAATATAGGCACTGCCATGTGGCAGAACATAAATAAGTCATATGGGTTAATTTAAAATGTAAGAGCTACCTAGCAATAAGCCTGAGCTATTGACAAAGCATTTATAAATAACATTAAGGCGCTGTGTCAGTTTGGGAAGCAGCCTCTGGGTATTTGAAAGCAGGTAGTTGGGACAAAAAAAAAGTCATCCAGCCGGGCGGTGGTGGCACACGCCTTTAATCCCAGCACTCGGGAGGCAGGCGGATCTCTGAGAGTTCAAGACCAGCCTGGTCTACAAGAGCTAGTTCCAGGACAGGCTCCAAAACCACAGAGAAACCCTGTCTCAAAAAAACAAAAAAAAAATCATCCATTTACAAGTCAGGTGGTGGTGGCACACTCCCAGCACCCAAGAGGCAGAGGCAGGTGCCTCTCTGTGAGGTCGAGGCCAGCCTGGTCTACAGAGCAAGTTCCAGGACAGGATCCAATGCTACAGAGAAACCCTGTCTCAAAAAAAAAAAAAAATCAAAAAAGAGCATCATAGAATGAGCTGCGGGCTGCATTCCTGCCACCCAGCTCCCGGCCACCTGGCTAGCTTATGCCCCAAAATAACACACAAACTGTATTCATATAAACACTGCTTGGCCCATTTCTATTAATGTGTGTAGTAGCACCACGAGGTGCACTTACCAGGAAGATTCTAGCCTACGTCCATCCTGGGTCAGAGCTTCATCGCATCTGCTCTGGAGAGGAGAGGCATGGCGTCTGAGCTCACTTCTTCTTCCTCCCAGCATTCTGTTCTGTTTACTCCACCCACCTATGTTCTAACCTATCAGGCCAAGCAGTTTCTTTATTAATTAACCAATGACCTTCCTCCATCAGAACATCCATTTACAAGCAACCACATGTAACTCCAGCTCCAAGGTATCTGATTCCCTCTTCTGATCTTTGTGAACACACACACATACACACACACACATACACACACATATACACACACACACACACCTTTTTAAAAAAGAAAAATGTTGGCCAGTAAGATAGTTCAACCAGTAAATTTGAATATCTCAAAAACATGGTGACCTGTGTTCTATCCCAGGACTCACATAAAGATAAAAAGACAGATGGGTGATGGAGGAAGGTCATTGGTTAATTAATAAAGAAACTGCTTGACCTGATAGGTCAAAACATAGGTAGGAGGGGAAAACAGAACAGAATGCTGGGAGGAAGTGAGGCAGACACCATAGCCTCTCCTCTCAGGACAGACGCGATGAAGCCAGCCACCAGGTCAGACATGCTGAATCTTTCCTGGTAAGACTGGTGCTACACAGATTACTAAATATGTGTTAGGTAAGATGTGAGAATTAGCCATTAAGAGGCTATAACTAATGGGCCAAGCAGTGTATAAAAGAATACAGTTTCTGTGTAATTATTTCGGGGCATAAACTAGCCAGGTGGCTGGGAGCTGGGTGGCAGGAACGCAGCCCGCAGCGCCCTTCTACAGATGGGGGCTGGAGAGATGGCTCAGAGGGTAAGGGCACTAGCTGCTCTTCCAGAGGTCCCAAGTTCGATTCCCAACAACCACATGGTGGCTCACAACCATCTGTAATGAGACCTGGTGCCTTCCTTGCCAGCAGTACATTGTATGCTTAATAAATAAAGCTTTAAAGAAAAAAAGATAAAAAGACAGAGCCAACTTCGCAAAGTTATCCTCTGACCTGCGTACTCCATGAAAAATATGAATAAATTAGATAGATAGATAGATAGATAGATAGATAGATAGACAGACAGACAGACAGACAGACAGACAGATTCTTAAAGCTATTTGGGAGCTGGAAAGATGTCTCAGAGGTTAACAGCAACTGTTACTCTTGCAGAGGACACAGGTTTGGTTCCCAGCATCCATACGTTATCTCACAACCAACCACAACTCCAGTTACAAGCGATCCAATGTCCTCTTCTGACATTTATAAGCACCAAGCACAAATGCTAAACATACACATACATGTAAGCAAAACTCTCACATACATAAATTTTCAAAAATACTAAATATATTCTTGTGAAATATTACTTTAGGTAAAGATGTGTTACATTTGTTTATGCTGCATTTGATTAATGACGTGCTGTGGGATAATGGTCTTGTACTCTGTAAAGATTTGTCACTTGTACTAGCTTAATAAAATGCTGGTTGGCCAGTAGCCAGGCAGAAAGTATAGGTGGAGTAACCAGAACAGGAGAATTCTGGGAAGAGGAAAGAAAGAGTCAGTCTGCAGTCATGACCCAGATGCAGAGGAAGCAAGATGAGAATGCCTCACTGATAAAAGTACCAAGCCACATGGCTAATACAGACAAGTATTATGAGCTAATTTAAGATGTGAGAATTAGGGCGGGCAGTGGTGGCGCACACCTTTAATCCCAGCACTCGGGAGGCAGAGGCAGGTGGATCTCTGGGAGTTCGAGGCCAGCCTGGTCTACAAGAGCTAGTTCCAGGACAGGCACCAAAGCTACAGAGAAACCCTGTCTTGAAAAACCAAAAAGAAGAAGAGAGAAGAGAACAAGGGAGTAGGAGAGGGAAATACCTGGGCCATTCAGCCAGGCAGCCACCAGCCAGAGACAGAGGAAGCACAGAAAGTAGGGCATACAGAATTAGAGAAAGGTAAAGAGCCCTGAGGTAAAACACAGATGAAAAGAAACAGTTAAATTAAGTTATAAAAGCTAGTGGGAGGGCTGGTGTGGCTTAGCGTTAAGAACATTGATTCCTCTTCCAAAGGACCCGGTTCAATTCCCAGCACCTACATGGCTGCTGAAATCTGTCTGTAACTCCAAGCTCTAACACTCACTCATAGACATATGTGTAAGCAAAACATAAATGCATATGAAATAAAAATAAATAAATTATTTTTAAAAAAAAAAGAGCTAGTGAAACAAGCATTAGATAGACAGGGAGGGAAGGAGGAAAGGGAGGGAGGGAGGGAGGGAAAAAGAAAGTCTCAGTCTTCTTTCTCACTTTAATTGTTTTACCTAGATCCTGGCAACAATCCCTAAATTCTCAGCACCTGGAAGTTGAAAGCAGAAGGATCAGGAGTTCAAGGCCATCCTCAGCTACATAAAAGGTTTGAGGCCAGCCAGGTGGTGGTGGCACATGCCTTTAATCCCAGCACTCAGGAGGCAAAGGCAAGCAGATCTCTATGAGTTCCAGGCCAGGTAAATACAAGGACTCTGGTGTGTATCTGTGATTGAACTTATGGAAGTCAAAAACAGAGGTGACATGTCTTTTTCAATCATTACTTACGGAGGCAGGGTCTTTAGCTAAGCCCAGAGATCACTAATTTGGCTAGTCCAGCTGTCCACCTTGCCCAGGAGAGCCCTTGTCTCTGTCTCTAAGCACCTGTAATCCAAGGACTACAGCAAGGACTACAGGTGGGATGCTGTACCCATCCAGATTTTTAAATGGGTGCTGGGGATCCAAACTCTGGTCTTCATGAGTGGACAGCAAAGTTGGTCCACACTGAGCCATCTCTATAGCCCCAATAAGATTATTTCTGATTAAGATTATTTGGACTGGGGCTGGAGAGATGGCTTAGTGGTTTAGAGCACTGACTGCTCTTCCAAAGGACAAGGGTTCAATTCCCAGTAAAAACATGGCAGCTCACACCTGTCTATAACTCCAACATCTGATACCCTCACACAGACATACATGCAAAAAAAAAAAAAAACCAATGCACATAAAATAAATAAATTAAAAAAAAAAAGATTATCTGGACTAAAAAACTGAAGAGTCAAGGTTAGGTGTAGTTCATACCTGATGATGAGTTCAATTCTCAGACCCAGGCAGTAAAGGGACTGCTGCAGGCTATCATCTGATTTACACACTCACATGGCTTGTGTTCGCTTGCACTCTTACTCAAACAAACATGTGTACGCAGAGAAATAAATAGGTAAACACAAGTTTAAAATTTTCTAAAGAAACAGTCAATCTAGCTGTGCAGTATAACAGGGCTTACCCTAAAAATCTCATCATACATCAGCACCACTTTTTCCTTTAATGGTTTTTTTGAGGCTGAAGATTTCCGGAGCAAGCCTCCTCGTTTCTCTACTTGTGCCATGGCTAGGGAACCTGTGGGGCAGGGCGAGACACCAGTTAGGACACTGAGAGTATGACACCACAGTAGAAGAACTATGTCGAGATGCGTTTGCTCAAACCCTCAGAACACCCAGCAGCAAGAACACAACTAATGTAAACACGGACTCTGGGTAAGATGTCTGAGTCAACAGAGATTCATTACTGTAACAAACACAAAACAGGACAGGCTGCAGGTGTACAGAATCACAAAATGGATGGACTCCTGCCACCTTCTTCTCAATTTTGCTACGAATCTGAAATGCCTCTAAAAAAAATCATTTAAAAATGTAATTCAGAACATTGGTGGCACCTGCCTGTAATTTGGGAGCTGGGGGGGGGGGGAGGATTAAAGTTCAAGGTCATTCTTAGTCACACAGAGTTCAAGGCCAGCCTGAGCTCAGTGCGAACCCTATCTTAAAAAAAAAGAAAGGAAGGAAGGAAGGAAGGAAGGAAGGAAGGAAGGAAGGAAGGAAGGAAGGAAGGAAGGAAGGAAGGAAGAAAAGAGGGAGGGCGGGAAAGGAGGGAGAGCAGGAGGGAGGGAGAGCAGGAGGGAGGGAGAGCAGGCAGGCAAGGTCAGTGCCAGAACACAGAACCCACTGAGTGATCTCTCAATGGGGACTGTTTTAGGCGGAATAAATGGTAAATAACTATGTTATTAGTTCAATGCCCTTCCCAAGACCAGGTAATGTGAAAACTTAAAATATTACTTGCCTACAGCACAATGCATTTAAATCCTTAAACTATGCCAGTGGCTAAAGCCTCAAGCTGACCTAACCCGAGCGGGAAAGGGTAACTGGCCCCATCTCTAAGTCTGCCCCATCTCTACGGTGACAGAAGGAAGAGTGCGAAGCACACAGTGCCCACAGAAGGATGGGGAAACTAAATTTCAAATATTGATCGAGCTGAGGACCATTAGGGCAGGAAGTGTGCTACAGGCTGATGTGCTCCATCGATTTCCCCGCGAAAGCGGGTCCTCATCACTGCAAAGCACTCGGCCTTCACCGCCTCATAAATCACACTGCACTTAACTGTCTTCAGGAATTCCTCTGCAAACACTGTTTAAGCAAAAAACAGCAGTTAAGAAGCCAAAAACGAAACTGACTTCAAAATGGTAATATACTACTTATCAAACGTAATTATATGTATTTATAACACTATTGTAGGTCAAACTCCGACCTATTGCCCGGTTCTAGCATTGTGCCCAAATTGTCACATCTTACTTTAAGGAACTCAATATTTTTCAACTGAGACTTGAAATCCCGCAGGTCTCCAGTGCAGATTCACACACATTCCCTCACCTCCCTCATTGTTTTTAGTATTAACCAAGTCCCTTTGCTCTTAAACCCTGAGCTCTCTGCATGAAACCTAAGCCCATACAAGGACAAGCAGCAGGACACTAGAGGAAAGCCTGGTTTTTCTTCTAGAGAAATCCAAAGCAATTGAACTAATTCTGTAAAATGAATTTTGAAAATATACACTACCTCTCAAATCAAAACCAAAATTTTACTTAAGTAAAAGATGCATCCAACCAAAAGCAATCTACAGATTCAACACAATGCCCATCAAAATCCCAGAAAAATTCTTCAAAGACCTCGAAAGAACAGTATTCAACTTCATTTGGAAAAGCAAAAAAACCAGGATAGCCAAAACAATACTGTGCAATAAAAGAACTTCTGGAGGCATCACAATCAAACTCTACTACAGAGCTCCAGTACTGAAAACAGCCTGATACTGGCATAAAAGCAGGCAGGAGGACCAATGGAACCAAATAGAAGACCCAGATAGCAATCCACACATCTTCGAACACCTGATCTTTGACAAAGAAGAAGAAATATCAAATGGAAAAAAGAAAGCATATTTAATAAGTGGTGCTGGCACACTGGATATCAACATGAGAAGAATGAAAATAGACCCATATCTATCACCATGCACAAAACTCAGGTCCAAATGGATCAAAGACCTCAACATAAAGTCAGCCACACTGAACCTTATAGAAGAGAAAGTAGGAAGTACACTTGAACACATTGGCACAGGGAACCACTTCCTAAATAGAAGCCCAGCAGCACATACACTAAGAGAAACAATTAATAAATGGGACCTCCTAAAACTGAAAAGCTTCTGTAAAGCAAAGGACACAGTCAACAAGACAAAATGACAGCCACAGACTGGGAAAAGATCTTCACTAACCCCACATCAGACAGAGATTTGATCTCCAAAATATACAAAGAACTCAAGAAATTGGACACCAAAAGATCACATAATCCAATTTAAAAAAAAAAAAAAATGGAGTACAGATCTAAACAGAGAACTCTCAACAGAGGAACCTAAAATGGCTGAAAGACACTTAAGGAAATGTTCAACATCCTTAGTCATCAAAGAAATGCAAATCAAAACAACTCTGAGATCCCATCTTACAACTATAAGAATGGCCAAGATCAAAAACACTGATGACAACTTATGCTGGAGAGGTTGTGGGGGAAAGGGAACACTTCTGCATTGCTTGTGGGAATGCAAGCTGGTACAACTCCTTTGGATGTCAGTGTGGCGATGTCTCAGAAAATTAGGAAATAACCTTCCTCAAGATGCAGTAATACCACTTTTGGGTATATATCCAAAGGATGCTCAATCATGCCACAAGGACATGTGCTCAACTATGTTCATAGCAGCTTTGTTTGTCATAGCCAGAACCTGGAAACAACCTAAATGTTCCTCGATCAAAGAATGGATAAGGAAAATGTGGTACATTTACACAATGGAGTACTAAACAGCAGAAAAAAATAATGACAGCTTGAATTTAGCAGGAAAATGGATGGAGCTAGAAAACATTATTTTGAGTGAGGTAACCCAGACACAGAAAGACCTTGAGGGAGGGCTAAAGGAGGGGAGCTGAGAAAAATGTAGAGTTCAATAAGTGTCAATAAAAAAACAAAAGAAGAAAAAAATTTACATGTTTAAGAAAAAAAGTCATGGCTGTGGTCAGACATAGTGGTGCACACTTGTGATCCAGTTCAGCCTGGGTTATATACAGAAAGTTTCAGCCTAGCCTAAACTACACAGGGAGATTCTGTCTCAAAACCCAGGGTGATAAGGCTCAATGGGTAAAGGCACTTGCTACCAAGTCCAACAATCTTATTTTCATCTCAGGAACAGGAATGGTAGAAAGAGAGAACCAACCCCCAAGGTGTCCTCTGACCTCCACACATATACCATGTATCACATGCACCTACATAAATAAATAAACAAAATATAAAATATTTCATCTTTGACCAAGGGTGAGGCTTGCACCTGTAATCCTACCTCTCAGAGGCTGAGACAGGAGGACTGTTAAGAGTTCAAGGCCAGGGCTGGAGCGATGTTTCATTAGTTAAGAGCACTGGCTGTTCTTCCAGAGGACCTGGGCAATTCCCAATACCCATATGGCAGCTCACAACCATCTGGAACTCTGGTTCCAGAGGATCTGATGGCTCCTCTGCCCTCTGCCAGCACCAAGCATACATTTGGTGTATAGACATACTTTCAGGCAAGGTATCCATATACATAAAATACAAATAAACCTTGAAGATAAAATTCAAACCCAGCTTGGACTCCAGAGTGAGACCTTGTCTCAAAAACAAACAAACAAACAAAAAAAAAAAACGCAGAACCCCACGCATGGTGATATATATACAGAATTCCAACACTAGGGAGACAAAATCAAGAATTTGTGATCATTCTCAGTACAAAGTAGGTTAAACGCCAGCCTGGCACATAAAGGTTCTGAGTTTGTAGTACCAACAACAATAAAAAGTCAGATGTCTGACCTAAAAGTTTAGTTAAGACCTCTTTCTGTTATTTCACTAAGCTTTCAAGTTTATTATAACCTCAAGAAAACTGTGGGAAAAAATTAAAAAACAAGACTCAAACAATTTCCACTGTGTTGATGCTGGCTTTACTTAAACATGAAATACAGCTCCTGCTCAAAACAGTCCTGTGCGGCTTAAACAGCTTGTCAAGAGGAGGATGTCCTTATCTAGGGAAAATAAATTGGAAACCAAGAGAATCCTATTTAAATAAATCACAAACAATGCAATTCTACTCAAAGTGGATATAGATCTCATATGTGCTCGGCTTCAACAAGTTGATTAGCGGCACATCAAGACCACAAGTTCCTACATTGTAAAAAGCACGTGTTTACCAACATCCCCTATGAGGATCAATAACTGGGTTACAGCTAATCAATGTCCACTCCAAATCTAATAAACTCTCTCTATTTCACGATCAATACTTTCTAATAAGCGAAAGGGAATAAAAGAGGAGGGAAAAAATAATTCTAATCCAATCTACCAAATTTCCAAAGAAATTATTTTAATCATTCTCCTTCCCACTTGAGGCAAGAAGAATACAGCCAAGGGTCTCAACTCAACAGTCTCTGTCATCATCACAGGCAGCTGGAGTTTGCCACCCAAACTGCTCAGTAAGTGACTTGAAAGAGAACACGGAACCTACTCCTCCCGCACTCCTGCCCATGGAACTCAGCACATTAGGGTTTGGTGGTGGGAGACTTATAAAAAGTGTAAAATTCTCACAGGTTTTCCTTTGGATCTCAGAAATTAAAATTGAACTTGCAATACTGTGGGGCAGGAGGAGGGGTGGGAGGGAGAACAGTGGTTGAAATGTAAAATGAAATTTAAAAAAATAAATAAATTTGCCAGGCGGTGGTGGTGCACACCTTTAATTCCAGTACTTGGGAAGCAGAAGTAGGCAGATCTCTGTGAGTTTGAGGCCAGCCTGGTCTACAAGACCTAGTTCAGAACAGGCTCCAAAAGCTACAGAGAAACCCTGTCTCAAAAACAAACAAACAAATAATCTTTAAAATGTTATACCAAAAAAAAAAAAAAACACCAAACAAACAAAAAACTTACAATGCCATATCCTGGAGCTGGAAAGATGGCTCAGCAGTTAACAAAACTGGCTACTTTTCCAGAGGACACAGGTTCAATTCCAAGCACCCATGT